GGAGCATGATCAACTGACAACGAGGTCTATTTCCTGCACATAAACAAAGAACAAGTAGGAAACTGACATTGCAATATGGATATTTCGACTATAAAAGGAAAGCTTTATTGATGAAAGTGGGGTTCTTTGACATCTTGGTCTGGTCGTTGAACACAAATGAATGACGCGAGTTGCAGCTATGAAGAACTTTAATCTAAACAAAACCCAAGTCTAAAACGACGCCCTAAGGGATGTATTTATTGTATTTATAGGGAGATAGAGGAGAATTTTGCCCACCCTAGGTAAGGTGGGACTAAATTCTATCCTAAGTCATTTTCCCTATGAATGCAAACTCTAAACTGCCTATTAAGTGTATTGCGAAAATACATGGGCCTGGCCTAAAAATAAGGTGATGCGGCAGCTATATTAAGCTATGGACGAAATTTATAAAAGGTCATATTATATATTTCATCCATGTCCTTATATGTCATCATGGTGACTCCAAAGTGCTGAAAACTCCACGGAAAACTTCATTATTGTTCCCCTTGCACGCGCCATCCCCTCCATACTTGATCATGCTCTAATGTTCATCCTTATCCATGTTAGGCCCTTCATTTGTAAGTAAAACAAATGCATCCAATTTAGGAAGCATCATATTCTCATGAACATGAGAATCGTTACCAAGAAACGAAGTACCTGGTAATTTAATTGGCGTGCGCGAGCTCTAATAATTCATCCAGTATATGTAGCAATAGGGGTTGTCGGTGTAACTGTAGGATGTATCCCCGGCCTCCGCATCTAGACGATGCATGTAGCTTTTTTATTAATTATTCACAAAGACCTTACAAAGTAATATATCACTACGCCTGAAGAGAGCGCACTACATGGCTCCCCCGCGTAACCCTCTCGTGTCGCTCCCCCCGCGAGCGACCGAGGGGGCTACCCTAGCCGCCGGCGCCTCAGGACCCCCCGCCCCTCTCCTCCCCTCACCGCCGTCGGTCCGCACCGCCGGGCAAAGCCCGGTAGGTGCTGGCGGTGATGGGGCCCCATCTCCTCCTCGCGCGAGGGCTCGGAGTGGGCGGGCGTCCTCGGGCGGCGGCGGCGCGTTCATCCGGGGCATGGCGGCGCACGGGCAGGTGCGACCGCGGTGTTGCGGTGCCTTGTCCTGCGTGTGGAGGGCCGGACACGGCGGGGGCTGCGGGATCACTCGGAGGCAACAGGGGCGACTTCGGTGTTGGATCCGCGAGCAGCAGGTAGGGCGGCGTTCCTTTGCCTATGCGGCGGCAGCCAGATCCATGGCCGGAATGGTGCTCTTCCCCTCGGTGGAGTCTATGCTTGAAGATGGGCGACGGAAGCCGCGAATCTGGTGTCCCGTCTAGATCTGCCCCGGCGTGGCAACTGGTGGCGTGTGGAGGACCGGTGAGGGGCAGTTGGAGGCTCCCTGCTGGCATGCTGGCGTCGGCTTTGGTCTTCACGGCGAAGCTCCGTTCGGTTTCAGTCACCTGCGAGTTCGGGGGGGCGTGATTTCCGGTGAAAATCGCGCGAACTACGGTCATGGCGGACGATGGCGGCGTCTATGACGTTGTTCCCTTCTTGAGGCATCATTGTTGTAGGTCATGGCGCCCCACTCGTGATGCTCCGAGGGAAACCCTAGATCTGGGTCTACTGGATCGAACAATGATGGCACCTTCAATGCCCGTTGTCCCTCCTGGGGGCATCGTTTTGGAGCACGTGCTGGCTGGAGGGGACAAGAGGAGGAGCAGTGTTACATCTACCGCAAGACCGACGGCGGATCCCGGCGGCATGGTGTCGCGGAGGTTCGGCGATGGGCGTGTATTGGAGATGGACTCGCGCAGGAGGAGAAGTTGTCTGGCGTCATGGTGGCGTTGATGGTAGAGAGGCCTAGTAAGGTCGGTGCATCAGTTCTGCATTAAGGATGGACCGAGGGAAGATGGAGGTGACGACCCTTGCAGCGTGCGGTGCTCACTGGGAGTGTGCCAGACCGGTGTGGGATCCAATCCAAGTAGTGGCTTGGATGGGACACTAGGTTTTAGATGTTAGGCTTTGGTGCGATGTCTATTTGGTATTAGGCCCAGACATTCGACACGCCTTCATCAAGGGGATAGGAGTAGCAACAACGTTGCCAAGATGGTGGCTTCAGGATTATTGATGTATCACATTGTATGGTCTTTGTGAATAATTAATAATATGGTTGCATGCATCGTCCAAATGCAGAGGCTGGGGGTACATCCTCCTTTTCTAAAAAAAACATCAGTATGCCTGAAGCCACTATCCAGGCAACACCTGTTTCTACTCCTATCCCCTTGATGAAGGGGTGCCGAATGTCCGAGCCTAATACCAAACAGACATTGCACCAAAGTCTAACATCTAACGTCAGATGCCCCAGCCTAACTACATACCGGGACTGGGTCACACACCGGTCCGGCGCAGTCACAACAGGCACCACATGCGCATCCTGCAAGGCCCGACACCACCGTCTTCCATCGATCCATCTTCAGAGCAGAAACTGACGCATCGATCATGTCAGGCCTCTCTGCCATCGACGCCACCATGACGCCAGACAGCGTCGTCCTCCTGCGCGAGTCCATCCCCGCACATCGGACGCCGAATATGCACTGCACCACGCTGTCGAGATCCGTTGCCATCAATGTGTAGGATGAAGCACCGCTCCACCAAAGTTGCGGTCACTGGTCCATCGAGTCCATGCACACCTCCAAGAACGACGCCCCCAAGGGAAATGACACAAGAGCACCGCCGTCTTCCGATCTACTGATCTATGGTTTCCCTCGGAGGTAGCAGATGTTGGCCTAGAACTTCTCCATGACGATGCCTCCAAAAAAGGAACGACACCGAAGAGTGTCGCCATCGTCGGCCTTGGCATCTAGCCGAGAGCAGGTTTTCACCCAGATCTGTTCGAAGAACTCCATCCATCTTTTTGTGCATGGATCGCCACCTTCTATGCCGGGGACCGGACCAAAAGAACCAGTTGCCGCCGCCTGACTGGCAACGGCACCACCACAGTGCCAGAGCAGCCGGTTACGTCAGGCCCACCGCACCACCTTGCCGCCGCGCAACAGATCCACCGGCCCGCCTAAGCCCAACTGGGCCCGGCGAGATCCGAGATTCCGGCCACCGCCACAGGGGTGCCTCCGCTGCGGGAGGCTGCGTCGCCGTTGTCGCCGCCACATCCTTCGTCGGGATCATGCCGCACCGCGCCGCCGAATCATCGGAGTGACCATGTCGCCGCCGCTAGAGGAAGACGCCACCGCGCGTGAGGAGAGGACCCCGCCGCCTCCGTCACAGCCCACAGTCGGACTTCGCCGGCGTGAACTCGGGCGGCGGCGGGAAGGAGAGATCGGGGAGAGGAGGTCTAGGGCACGGTGGCGCGATCTCCCCTATGTCACCAAGGGTTGGCGACGCGGGGGCCGGAGTCTGGGATCACGTAACACATATAACCAAGGGTAAAGCATTTTAATTTTCAAGAGCCTGCCCACTCGTATTCAGACCAACATAGCTGACAAAAACACAGATGAACAATCTTCTATTGCTAATGAACTAAACGCATCTGAGGAGAAACAGCGACATGCTGGGGAAATATACTGAATCAATGGACAATCTTTAGATTGGCAACCTTTGGTTCTCATGTTTTGTGGATCTGGTTGCACTATCACTTCACAGTAGTAGTAGTAGCAGCAGCAGCAGCAGTTGCACTATCACTTCATACTAGTAGTAGTAGCATCAGCAGTAGTAGTATGATTTCAATTCAGAGTTCTGTTTTTATCCCTTAGAAAATATAGCCTAACAGTGAATTCAGAAATTGAAGCGGATATCTTTAGAACATTATTCAGATGTTGTTTTCTTAAGATAACATTCTTCAGGTTGATGAATTATGAGAGTTCAAAATTGTTTTCGATGCAAAAATACCATTGTTAAAAACCATTGGGTTTAATCAAAGGGAAGATGGGTTACATTGCTCTATTTCAAAACAAATTACATTAGAAGTACTTGCATTAGTCAAATTTGGAGAACTGATGCATTGATGTTTTTATAGGCTACTAGCATAGTAATTTTGGTTTTTGTGTGGATTAACCTACCCGAGGAGCTTTGGACAAATACAAGCGACATTACACTATTGTGCATTCCTTCGGTTCATATATTTTTTGGAACATTTTTACTTTTATTATATACTTTGTGATCATTTAATCAACAATTTTGGAACATTTCTACTTTTATGATATACAGTACTTTGTGATCATTTAATCACAATTGAGATGTGCACATGCACACTTACTAGTAAATGCAGTACATAAATCCTGGAGTTCAGAAGTTCAAAGTGGTTCAAGCGTGCCCCGGACCTCACAGGCGACATGCGTCTCGTGTTAGCAACGACCAGTCATAATCCCACCCACTGAAAGGCTTTACCCAGGCCAAGGCACAGCATAATTAGGAAGGTTTGCCACCTGGATTTCATAGTATCAGGGAAGGCAGTACAAAATACTCCCTCCGTTCCTAAATACTTGTCTTTTTAGAGATTTCAAATAACTACCACATACGGATATATATAGACATATTTTAGAGTGTAGATTCATTCATTTTGCTCCGTATGTAGTCACTTGTTGAAATCTCTAGAAAGACAAATATTTAGGAACGGAGGGAGTAGTTTATACCACTAGTTCCTTTTGCACCCTACAGGCTCAAATATACATTTCCAGATACATGATGGCCCAGCTTAACAAAAAGAATAAGGGGCAGCAAAGGAAGAACAGAAAACAGGATCACCCACGCCACCAGGAAACATAAACCCTGATGCGGAATTTCGTAATCTGTACTGTATACAAGAATACAGCCCTTGGCAGCCCAAATGGTGAAAAGGAAGAAAAGAACGAACTGGGCTAAGTAATGTACTAACACAACAGTCTAAACTGATCGAATTTGGATTCTCCAAATCTATATAGATTCCTAGGAATTTGTCATAGAGGCTGTCAATCAAGCAAGATGACTTAAGTTTTGCTCTTGAACTTCCTCTGCGCCTTGAGGTCTACCACAATAACCGTGATGTTGTCCTTGCTCCCCTTCTGGAGAGCAAGCTTCGACAAGCATTCAGCAGCTGCTTGAGCCGCTGGATCTGGGGAGTCACCGCTACGTTGGGCCGATGACAAGTTTACCCCATTCTTTTTATGCCATAAGAGTATTCGCTTGCGGGCAACATCGCATACCTCTTCATTCGACAGTACATCCCAGAGGCCATCACTAGCGAGAATAAGACACTCGTCATCCTTTGCTCGAGGAACAATTGTGACCTCTGGGACAGGAATTATCCATGGTTTCAGATATCTGTCACCTGTGGAAGGTATAAAACATCAGCCCACAATATGTTTTTTAGCTAGTAAAAAATTTAGGAAGATAAAAAAAACTTACGCAAGAAAAGTAGGAATTCACTGTAAAAGAGGATCAAACAGTGATGTACCAAATAAAAGAAACTGCCTCAACTGTAGTAGCTCACCAAGCAATGCTATCTTAAAGGGATGCATATTCAATAGCAAGAAAGCACATTGACTGCAAGAGCCAACTGACAAGGGCAGGCTAAAAGAGGTGAACTATTTCATGTGGTTGGATAAGTTATGAAGATTCATCCAGGAGATATACAAATCATGCCTGTGGTCCAGGATCAAACTCAAGTTAACCAAGACCACCAGTAACTAATGCATACATCTGTAGACGTTTAGCGGTGATAATTTCCTATCTAAAGGTCATACCTCATCTGTCATGTTGTGTGTTGAATCTTCTGCTGCGTCTAGGTTTAAACAGAGCTTATGATTAGTTAAGAATCGTCAACCATTCTTCTTATGCTCCGTGATTAAACCATAAAAGTTAATATAGGACACCTAAACCAGGACTTTATACCTAAAGCAACCACGCAGACTCATGGGACTTAATTCGAATTTGGAAGTAGGAATACCAGAGTAAATGAAAACAGGGGATAGGCAAGGTCGGTGTACAGTTCTCATAATATACTGAATTAAGAAGACTTCCACATAGAACTGGGAATCCAGGTAGGCAAGAACTTTGTAAGATTAGCAGACAAATTGATGCAGATATACAGCCAATTTCAATTAGCCATGAGGGATACTACAGTGGAGCAGCAGGTGCTGAGTATTTGCGTAAGTACCATACAGATGTACTCCCTCCGTCCGGAAATACTTGTCATCAAAATGAATAAAAGGGGATGTATCTAGATGTATTTTAGTTCTAAATACATCCCTTTTTGTCCATTTTGATGACAAGTATTTTCGGACAGAGGGAGTACTACATAAGCAGTTAGCAACAACATTTATATGGGACCAACTAAAAGGTGCCTAGTACAGTAGTACCATTGTGTTTATTGTGTGGTGCAATCACAGAAGAAAACAACAAATCACACTGTAGTATATCATTATCTTCTTATTGCGAAGAATAACCAAGACTAAATGTGTATATTGAAGCCAAAGACAAGTAGTGGCTGGGTTTACCATATTACCATTTGGCTATTAAGTGTTAGCACTAGAACGTCAAATGCTGCGTGCCAAAATAAAGATCTCACAGGATCAATTACCATCTATTGTGCAATGGTAGCATAGCAAGTCAAAACAGATAAAAGAAGGAACAAGATGTAATGAAGAACTTGCAATATCTTCAATGAAATTTAACATGTGAACAGTTAGCATATATACGGGCTTTAAGCAGGGCAAGGGTCAAACTGGGATTTAGTACAAAAAGAAAGTATAGATATGAATACCACCTTTGAGCAGTCTGCCAACGGTTTTGGTGTACATATGGAATTTAGAGCAAGAAGATTATTCAGGCATTTCACACACAGATACATGAAGCACTCACACGGCCAAATTGAAACAGCAACTAGGTTGGTCAAGATTCTACTCCAGGGCTGTCGTTATTAAATATCAGGAGAACTTTAATAGACGCATATTTCGACATATTTTCCCAAAAGGGAAGTCACATTCCATTTCAGGATAATGTATATTCTTTAATTATTGGTGCTTTAATATTACTAGAAACAAAATATAGAAAAGGGAACCTAAATCTTCCTCGACCAATGGAAGCTTGAATCAAGATAGAACCAAACAAGTGGAGCAAGAATAAGAACCTTTGAAGCATAAGCAACTTTGTGTGTTGGATATTGCAATAAAGGCTACACAATTTCAATGAATTATAACTTCCTTTACGGGATGCTTATCCAATACCACATACTAGTTACACCAAACTATGCAGTCCTCCAGGATCTAACAACTGTTGAATTCAAGGATATTAGAAAAGCCATCTGGTATTTGGAAGATAAATCAATCATGCTAAGACTGCTAGATGCCTGAACAGCTTCCAGCAAGAACAAGCAACTTTCATGCACGGAAGATGATTTTTTTTCTGTTGGTCTCTGCATGCATTAGTTCACTATCAAAAAGAAGCACCTTTGTAAGCATATAAAATAGCACACCGGCAGACAAAGATCTAACTAAAACCACCACTGCATATTGATTTACCACCAGACCTGAAGTGCAAAGCATTTGGCGTTTGGCAAGCAATTAAATTCAGAATCGCACTGCCTTGATAGGATTTTTTTACCAGGCATAACGCAAGGCTTAATAGGAACTGATGGAACATCCAAAAGACATCCAAAACTCCATCTCATGCCAACAGTAACTGATGCCAGTACAACAGATGTTCCGAAAAGGAATAGCTAGCATACCAATTGACCGCGACATGGCAAGGACACCGAAAACTCGGTAGCCATTCCACTGTATGACCTTGCCACCCTCTGCCTCAATCCTTGCGTACTCATCCTCCCTATTAGGCTGAAAGACAGCGAGCAATGCAGTCAACATCTACTTAACATGTGAAGCAAAAGTTCAAGGCAACAATGAAAATAACACAAGCCTCATGAAGCATGGGAACTTACTTTATGATCCACTGACAACGGCACGGGTTGCTTGCCACGGCAGAGCACTGCCCTCGAGTCTCCACAATTTGAGACAATGATATGAGAGGAGCAGATGACAGCGACCACCGCCGTTGAACCGACGGTCTCGGGTGCTACAGGATCTACCATGCCCATTGCAGTGACACTGCTTGTGCCCACGTTTCCCCCTCCTCCGCTGGTCACCTTACCGGCTATCTCATCATCCACCCTTGAGAAGCAATCCACAAACGCCTTCTCCCACTGCTTCTTGAACTCCACAGCTCCCAGGTTAGCACCAGACACGGACCCTTCTATCCTGCTCAGCTCCTCCACCAGCGCTGCGTGGAGCCGATCCCGACAGTAATCTGCTACCTGCACAGGCATGACGCAAAATCTAACAAAGTTGTAGTTTCACTTGGGATTGAGGCAGAGACTGGCAAGGTCATACAGTAGGCAGTTGATAGGTGTCATTAATGGTGGGGTTACCTGTGCACCGCCGTGGCCATCATATACACCAAAAAAGTGCGCGGGGAGGCGGAAGGAGATGGGATCGAGTCCATCGACCATATTGTTGCCCGTGAGCATCCAGAGGGGCAAGCCGAAGAATCGCGGCACAGCGATGACCGCATCCTCCATCTCCGGGCGGCGGCCGCAAATTGATGTAAACCCCCAGAGTGGAACGCATTCGACAGCGAAGACGCTCCTCCCCCCGGCCGCGACCCTCGCCTCCGCCTCGACGGTGGCCGCAGAAGCCGCCGAGTCCTCGAACACCACCGCTCCCCCCTCGACCCCCGCACCGAAGAAGCCCAGACCCACCCCTTCGAAATCCGCGCTTGCCACGCTGCTGCAGTCGCTGGTGACCGAGCACGGGCTCCCCGCTGCCGACGCCTCTCCCCCTTCCCCTCCTGTTGCCGCTGGCAGCCCGTCATCCGTGGTGGTTCTGACCGGCGGCACTGAAAAGGTGACCGGCACCCCCTCCATGGCGCCCGCCACAACGGCCGCAATCGGTTCCGCAGCCGCGGCGGCGATTAGCGTGAGCCCGGCCGTGGCGGGGCTAAACACAGGTGTGGGCGCCGTGGCGAGCGCAGCCACGGCCACGTCCTCCATCTCCTCCGGCGCCACAGGTGCGTCCAGGATCAGCGCCCCGAGTCGCCTCACCGCCCAAGCACCCCATCGCTGACTCCGCTACTTCTCCCTCTACAAGTCGCTTCACATCCTCGTATGCTCACCCGCCGGCGCCGCCGCCTCATGTGCCTCCAGATCTGCGCCGATCCAGGCCGAATCCCAAGGCCTGCAACAGGCACCGCTCGACCGGCCTATAAACAAGGGGAAATCCAAGGTCCGCGCGGATCCAAATCCCCGAATCACGGCTCACGGGCGGTGCCCTCGCGAGCAAGGAAGCTAGCTAGCGGTGCGGAACCAACGGCGGGAGCGCGGGCGGGCGGGCGAGAGGAGAAAAGAGGAAGAGCGTAGCAGCAGCAGCAGCAGCCGCAGTTTAGAACTTACCAGTAAAAGCAAAGGAGTGGTGACGCCGTGAAGATGAAGGCGGAGGGAGGGGAGGGGAGGGGAAAGTTGACGTCCACCTCCCTGTGCGCGCGCGTGTGCGGGGACAGATGTCGAGGGGGCAGTGGGATGGGACACGCGGATCGCCGGATCGGCTGCTGGGCCTCGAGCAGCGGGCAGCCGGGGACGCGTGTCGAGTCGCCACGCCGTGCGCGTGGGGGTTACAGGTGGGCCCTGGGGAGACGTGTTCATCGGGGCGCACAGTGTAACTAGTATACTCCTCCTAGTCCCAGGCCTACATGTGGTGTGCCGCCGTGCTGGCGCTGTACGGTTGGTTGGGCTTGGGCTCGGGGAGCTTCTCGGCATTGGCCTGCCCAGCAGCAATAATGAGTGTGTAGCTTGTCGCACCTGGCCTGCTGCTTGCACGTCGGACTCAGACATGTGGCCCTCCTGCTGGATGCTGTCATGGGAGTTTAGGTGTTAGATGCCCAATCTTACAAGCATTTCCATTTCTTGCGTACGAACGCAATTTTTTCGCACGATTAGGCATGGATTTCTCCCGGATATTATCGCCCACCCCTCCTGCTTGCGACACGTCCACCACATATTTTAGCGCAGCAAAAAGGATAACTGTTTCTGTTGGACGAGGAGACGTGTTTTGCGTGAAGGACGTCAACATCTTTTTCACAGAGGTCCTTGTCCCATAAAAAGAGCGGAAAAGAAATCATGAAAATGGCACGCCCCGGGTGCTCTTGCCGCCACGTGGTCGACCCAACTAGCAACGTAACGGGCAGCCTACACGGGTTTAGGACATTCCAATGTCGACCCTCAAATCTCCCGCTTTCGTCTGGATTGTGTACTATCTGGCGAGCCAACGAACCTAACAAGTAGTATTAGGGGTACGAACGAGCGCTGATCCTGACTACGGCACAGGTGTGACACTCGGATTTTACGAGTTGAGAAGCCCGCGGAGAGGTAAAAGCCCTACGTCTCGAGCCTTAAGGTTTGTTTTTTTCCTGTGTCTGGATTACAATAGGGTTTCAAACCCTTGTTTCGGTGCTAGGGGTGGTCTATATAGAGTGTGTCGCCCCTCAAAACCAAAAAGCGCATCAACATGACAACCGCTACTTCTCTCTGTGACAGACCTTATTTTTACTTTTATGTATTTATTACTTTTTATGCAAGAGTCAAAGTGTTCTTCTTTATTTCTTTTTATTTTCTCTTTTGCAAGCACTATGTGATGGGGAAAGATCTAGGCATAAATATTCAATTGGATATGAGTGATCATGAGTTAGTATTGTTGACATCACCCTTGAGGTGAATAAGTTGGGAGGCAAAACTATAAGCCCCTATCTTTCTATTTGTCCGGTTGAAAGTTTTTTGATGCGGAGCATCCCAAGGTCATCCCATGGACCTATCATCATCTCACCAACTGCCAAGTGGACCTATGACTTGTGCACGTGCAAGAGATCTCGAAACCGAGGTGACATCTCTCCTCTCACAATTCCCCTTTGAAACACATGAGACATGGCTACTACCTCTCGCAAAGACACTTTGCATACTCAGGTACCAAGGAATTGGCCATGGAGAAGCTAAAGAGCAAGAAGGATCGGGAGAGGAAGATATGCGCGAAGACGGAGGAGAAATCAGCCAAGTCCCAGGTTGGCCGGACGATCCGGACCCCGGTCCGGACGATCCAGCTAATGCGCCCGGCGACACCCGAAGCTGAACTGCGAAGCCGGATCATCCGGACCCAGCCGGATATCCGGACCATCACCCAGACATCCGGGCCACCGCCTGCCTCCTCGCCACGTTCGGATCATCCGGACGCCGCCCCGAATCATCCGGGTCCCTGAAGCCTGAATCATCCAGCTCCCCGCCCGAGTCATCCGGGCCCTACCTGCGTGCATGATGTTGGGTCGAGGCCCATGTACCCTTTCGTCCCATTCGCCTATATAAACGACTCCACCTCCACTTTTCTAGGATTGACATTGATTTAGCTCACATGAGAGATAGAGCTTTGCTCATCCACTTGATACCTACTCCATTGAAGGCCAAGCTCTCCATCTAGGAGAAGATCCCCCAAGTGGATTCAAGCCCTCCACCTAGGAGAAGATTCCCTAGTGGACTCAAGACCTCCTCTTGGAGAAGAACTGGTTACTTGTATCCCCCTTTGTTATTTTTGGATCCTGCATCTCTCTTTGCGTTCATGGATCTAGCACATGTGTGATTGTTTCTCGTTGATTTGAGTGATTCCTCTCGTCTTCCCTCGTGTTTCCCCTCGTATGTTCGCCGTGTTCTTTGTGGGATTCCCTCCAAATCGTGAAAGATCAACCCCTAGGGTTCCACCCTGCATCATCTTGGTATCATGAGCCTTTGGTTGATCACGAATTTGGAGCCCCTACCCCTTGTTTTCTAGCCTAACTTTGTTGATTTTATCCCAATTTCGAAAAATTCCCCACAAAAATAGCCCCAATTTTTTTTGTGAGTTGTTGGTATGATGAAGTTTTGTTGATTTTGATCCGTGGGTTCATTGTGTTGCAAGTGGATCTAACCTTTTCCCTCCATCTCCACCGCGAATTCCATCAAAAATCGCCGAAATCGTTGATTTTTTCCCGTTTTCGAGTTCACCTCGCACCTCGCCCGCGAGCAGCTGGCCTGCCCGGACGATCCGTACCTTGACCCGAATCCTCCGGCTCCTGGCCCGGATCATCCGGCTTCCTCTGCCGAAACTGCACCTTCTGCAGTTTTTCTCCGCCATCATTTTCGCCTCCGCACTCCTACTTCCCCCACTACCTACCCACTTCCGCTACACCCTCGACACACCAAACCCATACCACTGCTTACCCGCTACCGACACCGACAAAATTTGACACATTTGGTTTTGAAGATTTGTGATGTGGTTCATCGTTTCCTAGAGTGTTCCGGCTAACTAGGAACGGTTCGACATCGACATCACCGCCGCTCATCTTCGACACGGACTCGTCCTCAACAACAACCATCCAACCATTTTGACACCCTCGACCATAAGCAAGGATGGTAACTTTGATGACATCTTTGTCTACTCCTTGCCATTACATTGATAACCCCATATCCCATTTTGCGTCACCTTCCTATTGAGACTAGCCATTTGAGTATTGCCGGCAATGTTACTTGTGCACATTAGTGATCATAGTTTCCCATTGCATACATACCATATGATATTGGTACAAGCATCTTGATATCATCTCTTGTGTCACAAAGTTGTCACCGCGCATACACAATTGCTATCTTGGTTCGTGAAGTTTCCCATAAGTGGCCACCAAAACAGCTCAAATGAGAAAGAGCCAACAAGCTTTTAAGCAAAAGGAAAAGATAAGCAAAGAGCTTTTAAGCAAGAACCATAACATCATACTACATTAAGATTGTCATACTCGGTCATCTTGGATCATCTCACCGGAACATCATACATATAGCATACTTGTGATAGAAGTCGATGCATTTTGCTTAGTAGGTTGTGCATAAGTCTTGTATCGGCCTATTGTGCAATCGTGCGGGCGTCTCTCTAGCGTTGTGCAATAAGAGCTGGATTCCACATTTTGGCTCATTCCTTGGTTGCACAACCCCATCTATCTATTCGTGTGTGTGTGTTTCCGTGTGCCACATATTGCTATTGGTCTACTTGTTGCATTTGTGAATTTGCGAATCTTTTTCAACATTATTGAGTCTTGCTAACATTCGCATCAAATTATATGCCACCATACTCACCAAACTCCACAAAAACAACTTTATTTGTGTAGATGTGAGAGATTGACGAGATAGGGTACCAATTGTGCTATTTCCTTGTTACATCATTGAGTGATCTTCGATCCATTTTCAACATCGGGTAAGGTACATTTTGTCTAGTTCTTTTCATTCTCCACTCACATTTGCTTGGAATGATGGATAGGGCAACTACTTCTTCGAACACACTCTTCCTCGAGCAAGATGACGACCCGAACACTTATGTCACCAAGAACCACCTCTTTGGCGCACAAAGAGCATTGCACCAAGAACAACAAGCATTGAGCGGCCGCATTGATAACCTCGCCACCGACTTGCGACAATCTGAGCAACGTATAAGAGACTACTTTGACAACAAGCTCGACGAACAAAAACAAGAGAGCAATGCAAGAATGGACGAGATTCGAGCTTTGTTGGTCAACCACTCTTCTACCTCTTCGTCCCACTCAAGACAGAGCCACTCAAGTCGACATCCTTCGCATTCTACTTCGGATGCAAGTCCTCCTTGATCTTGTTCGTACCGTCGCCAAGAACATGAAGATCATCAAGCTCCCTGAAACCCATTCCATGCCAATGGTTTACAAGACCGTCGATGAGCACGTGAACGACAACGCCGACAAGATAATGATCCTATGGTCCAAGATCAAGCTCAAATACGCCAAGATCGACAACAACACCAAGATGGTGATGGCCCTCGACAAGCGCAACAACGTCGTGAGGAACAAAACCTCGAAGCACAACGTGCTCTTCGCGAAGCTAGATGCTACCTCTTGAGCATGCATTGGTTTTCCCTTGAAGAGGAAAGGGTGATGCAGCAAAGTAGCGTAAGTATTTCCCTCAGT